TCTTCGTTGATAGCGTGGGTGCTATGGCACGTAGCGCTACCAAATTGCACACACGACCTGGGGCATCTATTTGTCACATGACCTGGGCGTCCTAGGTTCCAGTGACTTGAGGTCAGGTTACAAGGTCACAAAAACCTTTACATTGTTAAAATGGCACTAAAATGCACTATTTTGTTCATGAAAACTAGAGCTCTTAATCGATCTCATTAAAACTTTATGCACCCCAGTTTTTTTCCAATTCGGTTGACCTGAGGTCATCTAGAGGTCATGACAATTTTTAAGAAAATTTGCCCGAATGTGCAAAGATAAGAGATTTGTGCTCTATATAAGGTTTTTGTGTTGTACTACCTTGATCTACATATACTTTTGTTTGCAAGCTGCAGGAACGCTGGGGTCGGGTCAGCTTAGGTCAACTAAGGTCAAACTACGTTTCTGCTAATAACTTGGCACACAATGAGGCTACAGCTTCAAAAATGGTGTCATTGTGTTCCTTGTGATCAGGCGGTTCGAATGATATCCAATATGCTGCATTTTGATTATGTTAATCATAATTAATTACTTTAAGTTCACTTATTTAGTAACAAAGTGCATCATTTGATGCGCACGGACGTGCTGAGTTCACTGGTGCTTTTGTTTTTGCAGAATTGTAGCTAGGTAAACAGTTATAAGGGAAAAAACTTTTGACATGTTTTAGCGAAATTTTTGCACTTTTACACCCCCCTTCCCAACCCCCCTAAATATTGACTTAGAGTCACCGAAGTTAAACGGCGGCGAGATCTCCTATGGGCCGACCTACCCTGTAAATTTGGTGTTTCTAAGTGCCATAGGAGCCAATCGCCACGGGGGTCGTACCCTCGCTGTCCGTGTTTTGGAAAAGGCCCTCGGCTGGCGAGGGTTAAAGTACATATTATCATTTTTTCTCCAAAGTTTTTGTGGATTTATTCACTGCAACGTGTAAGATGAGGTCGCTGACGCCATAATCCGAAGTCATCTATCCCAAAATCGCATAATTTTCACATGATGGCCATCCAAAGTTCAAATTTTTTTTTTTGCTTTTTTTATTAAACATGCATAGCAGGACACACAGCATGCACAACATAGTAAACTCGATTGTCGAAGACAGTGAGCGGGCGCCACTCCTTCCGTTTCGATTGTTCGTTGGCGTAACGAATCACGGGCCGCGGGCCCCCGCCCGCACCCCCGGAAAATCATTTTTCCCGGGGGTGCCCCCTAACCGGTAACCGGACAAAAAGTCAAAAGGAATAAAGTCAAAAGACAAATAGTCAAAAGACAAAAAGTCAAATGCAAAAAGTCAAACGGGATAAAAGTCAAAAAGATAAAAGTCAAAACGGATAAAAGTCAAAAGACAAAAAGTCAAAAGCAAAAAGTCAAAATGTGCAAAAGTCAAAAACGCAAAAAGTCAAATGACAAAAAGTCAAAAATGCAAAAAGTCAAAAATGAAAAAGTCAAAAGGATAAAAGTCAAAACGGAAAAAAGTCAAAAGACAAAGAGTCAAAAGCAAAAAGTCAAAACGTGTAAAAGTCAAAAGACAAAAAGTCAAAAATGCAAAAAGTCAAAAGGATAAAAGTCAAAATGGAAAAAAGTCAAAAGGCAAAAAGTCAAAACGAGTAAAAGTCAAAAGAAAAAAAGTCAAAACGGAATAAAGTCAAAAGACAAAAAGTCAAAAGCAAAAAGTCAAAACGGGTAAAAGTCAAAAGACAAAAAGTCAAAAAATGAAAAAAAGTATAAAATAGAAAAGTCGAAGTCAAAGTCTGAAATAAAAAGTCAAAAGGATAAAAGTCGAAGCATCGATCTTTTCATCTTTTGAAAAATATTATACAGCGCAACGTACCCTACCCACTGAAGTTGTAAGGAACATGTGAGTACGCGAGGGATTCTGACAGGTACCGGGGTCCGCAGCAGCGGGGCAGGGACGCTGGCTGCGGTGGTGGGGCCCACGCTCACATAATACGCGTTGAGCGCTTCCGGCGTGCACGCTGGCGCAGCAGCAGTGGCACTCTTCCCCGCCCCGATCACCGGCCGCAGCACTGTCCACATCCTCGCCGGTCCTGCCTCACGCAGCTGGTCAGCATAGTATGCCGCGTGGTCACGTCTGATGGCCGCTCGACACCGCCGGTTCACCACCGTGGCGTATACTCGGCGCGCGGGCCGAGCAGTGCGCGCCGCCGCGCCAGCAGCGCTCGCGCGGCGTCCGTGGTGCGCGGAGCACCGGGCGGCGGCAGCCCCTCCCCCATGGGAGAGGGTGAAAAGCAGTGCCTCCTCTAAGCAGTTTTGACTGGGGGGCCCGATCACGGGCAATGACTAAGGTAACCCCTAACAAAAACGTCTAAGACTAAAAAATGACTATGGTACCCCTCAGTGACCAGTTTGGAGGATGACTGCGGGGGCTGCAGCTCCCGCAGTTAACATGTTAGAGGAGGCATGGGTGTCGTTTTGTATAGGCATGGTAGGGCCCGAGCCCTACCAATAATTTTGGAAATTTAACATTATGCCTATGGCGTTGCGTGGAAAGAATCGCTTTGAATTGGCAAAAATTTACAAATTACATTAGAGCCCTACCAATAATTTTCGGAAAGTGTCGCCCCTGAGAGGAGGACCTGGTGAAAAGCCAAAACCTCAAAATAAAAAAATACCATGTGATTAACGCTTAAATGACGTCAATGGACTTAAAGTAAAAAATACAAAAGACGAGATGATTTCAAAATTTTGAGTTGCAATTTTTATCCCCTCAACTTTCAACCTACCCCATCAACTTTTCAAACGTTCCCGGGTCACCACTGCCCCATCGTGCAATTCCAGTGCTATGGCAAAATTTTATCTGAAAGTTTAAACGTGCCCGATAGACTGGACGCGGTCCCCTCCGTCCAATCACGCTCTCTGGTCTCTGTACGGTCATCGCTGACTGGTCCAGCATCCAACGCGCTGGGTTTATAGAAATTTGGTTAAGAGAAATTAACATATTTTAATGAACGAATCCATTAAGTAATAAAATGAAAATGATTCACAGGTTATTATTACATGTGGGAGCACTGGCGCTGGAACTTTCTCAATGTTGGAGGGGCTCGAGGCAGTTTGAACTCATTTCTTTCCATGCAACGCCATAGGGTTAATTACGAGCGAGCGAGCGCAGCGAGCGAGCGAGTTCTTTCGTGTTTAAGGCAAAAATCTGAGTATGCGCGACCCGGCCCGACACGACCCGACCCGACACGACCCCATCACGCTCTTCAAACCCTTATAACTCAAGAACCGCATGCCGCATCGACAAGCGGTCTTCTTTGCTGAATACCACTTGGATGTAAAAGTTGTATGGCATGGACACCATGTTGTCTGAGTGTCGATCTTGGCACGTGGCGCGTGCTAAACTTGGGGTACTTTGCACACACCCGAAAACTATTATCCTCAATAACCGCACGACGGCTGGACCGATTGGGCTGAGACTTGGGACACAGCTGGGCACCCAACAACCAATTCATGTCAGTGTGTGAGTATAGGGGTGTACCAGCACGTGCGCACGTGCAGACCGCGCTTCTATATCTCGAGAACGTTTGGACCGATTGCGCTGATATTTGGCATGTGGCTAGCAACACTTTTATTAATTTGACCTTTTGCGGTTTTGACTTTTTGCTTTTGGCTTATGGTTTTTGAATTTTAGGAATTTTGACATTGATCATTTGACTTTTTGTCTTATGGTTTTTTAGATATATTACTTTTTCCTTTTGACTTTTTCTTTTTTGACTTTTCCATTTGATTTTTATCATTTTGACTTTTTTGCCGTTTTTCACTTTTTGTCTTTTGACTCTTCGCGTTTTTTGACTTTTTGCCATTTGACTTTTTGCTTTTGACTTTTTGCGTTTTTGACTTTTCGCCATTTTGACTTTTTGCCATTTTACTTTTTTGCTTTTGACTTTTTTCGTTTTTGACTTTTCGCCATTTTGACTTTTTGCCATTTGACTTTTTGCTTTTGACTTTTTGCGTTTTTGACTTTTTGCCATTTTGACTTTTCGCCATTTGACTTTTTACTTTTGACTTTTTGCGTTTTTGACTTTTCGACATTTTGACTTTTTGCCATTTGACTTTTTGCATTTTTGACTTTTGGACGTTTTGACTTTTTGCCATTTGACTTTTTGTCTTTTGACTTTTATCCGTTTTGACTTTTATCCATTTGACTTTTTTCCATTTGACTTTTATCCATTTTGACTTTTTGCATTTGACTTTTTGTCTTTTGACATTTTGTCTTTTGACTTTTTGTCCTGGAATCCCCCTAACCACCGCCCGGGCGAGGGGAGCGCCGACCTGACCCGACACTCGACAGGCCGGCGCCCCGCCCGCCCGGGCGGCCGACCGGTCCCTTTCAATTGGGACCGGTACCCAGGTTGGCCCGGATGGGTCATAGGGGCGGGGGCCTAATGCTCGGCAAAACTCAGGGCTCCGCCACAGGCCGGCGTTCAAACACAGTAACGTTCAACAATCTTCCGTTCAAACACAACAAACAGTAACCTAGGTGAGCAAAGAGCAACCAAACAAACGAGTAATTAAACAGACTAACATAAACTACACTGTTAAAGAAACGGCCAAAGTTCAAAGTTGACCCGTCTACCATCTAACAAATTTAAGCGACGAGTATGAGGTGTTAAAACATTGGCCCGGGTACAGGAGGGGGAAGGGCAGCAGGTGCGTTTTCCCCTAACTTTACAGCCGAGGGGTGTGCCCCCAACATTGATACAGCGAGGAAGAATCTTTTCTCCTTTTTTTGGACTGTGGTTTGTTTTCTTCAGGGCTGTGGAGTCGATTTTTCGGTCACTCCAACTCCGACTCCAGCTCAGACTCGGGACGCTGCTCTGAGTGCCAGCCCTGGCTCGTCCGGGTGCAGCCTGCCACTGTAACCCAGTGCACGACTGTGTGACTGGCGCCAGCCTGTACCGAGTGCACGGCTGTGTGACTGACGCTGCAGCCTGAACTGCGTGCCGTGTGACCCGCAGAAGCAGGGGCCGCCCAACTCGCTGCACTATATCGTCCAGGATGTGCGTAAAAACTACAGCCGCGGCCGGTACTCGCTGCTCGACATCGGCCTGGTCATCAACCACCTGATGGGCGGCGCCTACAGGTGGGCCACTGGCGGGATCAGGGCTACTGGTGGGCGGCGCCTACAGGTGGGCCACTGGCGGGAACGGCTACTGGTGGGTCACTGATGGGCGGCGCCTACAGGTGGGCCACTAGCGGGAACGGCTACTGGTGGGCGGCGCCTACAGGTGGGCCACTAGCGGGAACGGCTACTGGTGGGTCACTGATGGGCGGCGCCTACAGGTGGGCCACTGGCGGGAACGGCTACTGGTGGGTCACTGGGAGGCTACTGGTGGGTCACTGGCGGGAACGGCTACTGGTGGGTCACTGGTGGGAAGGGCTACTGGTGGGTCACTGGGGGGCTACTGGTGGGTCAGTGGGGGCTACTGGTGGGTCACTGGTGGGAAGGGCTACTGGTGGGTCACTGGGGGGCTACTAGTGGGTCACTGGGGGCTACTGGTGGGTCACTGGCGGGGCTACTGATGGGCAACTAGCGGGAAGGGCTACTGGTGGGTCACTGGGAGGGGAAGGGCTACTGGTGGGTCACTGGGGCTACTGGTGGGTCACTGGGGCTACTGGTGGGTCACTGGGGGCTACTGGGGGACTACTGGTGGGTCACTGGGGGCTACAGGTGGGTCACTGGCGGGACCGGCTACTGGTGGGTCACTGGGAGGCTACTGGTGGGTCACTGGTGGGAAGGGCTACTGGTGGGTCACTGGCGGGAAGGGCTACTGGTGGGTCACTGGGGGCTACTGATGGGTCACTGGGGGGCTACTGGTGGGTCACTGGGGGCTACTGGTGGGTCACTGGGGGCTACTGGGGGGCTACTGGTGGGTCACTGGGAGGCTACTGGTGGGTCACTGGTGGGCTACTGGTGGGTCACTGGGGGGCTACTGGTGGGTCACTGGGGGGCTACAGATGGGTCACTGGCGGGAAGGGCTACTGGTGGGTCACTGGGGGCTACTGATGGGTCACTGATGGGTGGGGGAGATATTTGCAGCCGCCCCGGCCCACAGCCGTGGGGCTGCAGCCAGCCTCGGCTGCAGCCGGCCGGTGCAGACCTCTATCATGCATTCATCTTGGCCACTTTCCGGTTACATGGGTTACCAAATAATGCAATTAAATATTTTTCCATGAAAATCCTTTCTTTGTTTACCTACAGGTGGGATGCTGACAAAGTAAGCATCCATCCTCGCTTAAACCTTGTCACCATCAAATACCCTAGTCGTACATGAGGCAGCCATTCTGTTTCCCATATCGGGACTTGAGAAGTCGCCGGTGGCCGCTTTGCCCAATATGCATAGGTTCAAAGTTTTGTCAATATCTTCCATATGTGAACGCCTTAGGAAATGAAACGCAGTTGAAATAAAAGGCAATTTAATAGAGATCACATTGGAATAAAAAGAATCTTTCCAAGTTTAAAAATCAAACGTCGGCATCGTAAGAAGCGTTGGTCTGAGGCATGGCAGCTAAAGTTGAACCCAGTCAAATGTTTTGTTATTTCGTACACGCTCAAAACCCGGCCAGTTACATTTGATCACTCATGTTTCACTGCAGCGCAAGGTAGAGGCACGTGATCTCGGAGTGATACTGGACAGCAAGCTGACATTCGCGCGTCACATAGACACTGCTGTGGCCAGACGCAGTCCAGACGCATGCTCGGGTTGTTCATTCGGGGTATGCAGCAGCCTCGCAACCTGCGCGGCGGGCCCTTGACGTCAGAGCATTGCGTACTGCCTACTTTGCGCATGTCCTATCACTCCTGGAGTACTGTAGTGTCGTCTGGGCCGGCGCTGCAGTGACCCACATGAAAGGACTAGACCGTGTGCAACACAAGTTCCTCATTCGGCTCGCATCTCGTTCGGACCATCCCACAAACTGCCTGGATTACGAACATCTACTGTCTCACTTTCAGGTTCCATCTATCAAATCGAGATTTCATCAACACGACCTCATGTTTTTATTCAAGATTTTCCATGGTCAGATTAACTGCCCGCAACTGGTCACAAGGTTCTCACTCTCAGCACCTAGTACATAGAAGGGTGCGCAACATCAGGCTGTGGAATATCCCACCAGCACGAGTCAATACTGTCAAAAACTCTATGTTCGGGCAAATTCCTAACAGCTGTAACGCCCTCGTAGCCGCGAACAGTACAGTTGACTTTTTCACGGCAACACTTGGAGCCTTCAGAACTGCTGCATATTAATTCGGTCAGGCCGCCGGTGTGTACTAAATAGCATGTTTCCTTTTAGTGTATACTTTTAGCTTGTTTTCTTTTTAGTGTTGCTTATAGTAGATACCTACCTATGTTATGCCGTGCTTTTAACTACAGTGTTGTGAATCGTTTGTGTTTTCACCTCATCTTGTTTATGATTTTATGTACTGTTTTGACTGCACCTGTTAAAAGGGCGTTTGCCTGTGGGTGCTTGTAGTAAATACAATACAATAGAAAGCGTTAAGGTGACCGCTTTGCCCCACTCTCCCCTACAGGAGCACCTACTCACGGCGCAAGTTCCGCGCACTCTACTACGAGACGTTCCGTTTCCGGTCGCCCATGATCGTGCGGAACGCCAGCATGTTCATGCGAGCGGCGGCATGCGCGACCACTGCTGTAGCGGCGGCGGCGCCGCTCAAGATGAGCCCGCCGGCCAACGGCCGACCGCCGCCGGACACTTCAGCCGGCCCGGCGGCGTCACGCTGCGCTCCCACCGAAGACGTGTTCGAGTACCCCTTCAGTGAGCTGATGGTGAGTTTTTTTTTCTGGGGAGGTGCCGAAAGGGGGGGGGGGCTGCCGGCGCCAAATATCGACACCTTTTTTTTAAACCCCACATTTGTTCTCCGGTGAATTTCAGACAAGTTGGTTAGAGACCTTCAAAAAAGGTACAATCACTCGATTTTTCTCAAGTTTGTCTGTCTTGGCAGATAAAGCAATACCAGAACAGGCCTACGAACACACATATTTGATCAGGATCGGACGATTGGACACTTTTAAAAGGAGATCTTTCGTGCCTCCCGGAAATTCACGGGAGAGCAGATGTGGGGTTTAAAAAAAAAGGTGTTGATATGTCCTGAAGGGTCTTTTGTTCACCTAAACACAGAGGTCGCTGATGGCACATGACTCGCTAATGACACTGAGATAGCTGACAGAGGTCGCTGACCCAGAGGTCGTTCGGATTGCACAAAGTCGCAATATGGGGACACTCTGTACATGGAGCGGCCCTGACCACCGCTGCTCTATACACCGAGCGGCTCCGGCCGGCGCCAGTGCCAGATTATCGCGATCACCGCTGACATAGCCCTCCCATTCCCACTCCGGGCCGGTGCTCAGCGCCACCTGCGCCGCGTCGCGGGCTGTCTGAACATCCGCCAGCTAAGCATAACTGTTGGCAAACCGAGCGTTATCCCGTATCCCTCGAATCGCACCGGGTGTCCAAAAAAAAGATATTATTGGAATTAATTCCAGAGCAGACCCATCTCGTAGCGCTGCTCCTCTGGGTTCCAGGTCGGCTCAGGTGGCGCCTCGTCTGCAGTCTCCTTCGCCGAGATTCCCACGGCGTCCAGGCTCCACATCCTCTCCACGTCAGCCAGCTGACAGCGGTAGACGCGCCTCTGTCCGGTCTGCTGGTTCTGTGCCTGCCCATGGAGAACATGACCAAACACCGTCTCAATCAGGCGCAGTCCGGGCCCAACCTCCACTTGGTCCCACATCACAACCTGGTAGATCTGATCACACCCGATCAACAGATCCACAGGCCCCTCACGGTAGTCGTCAGCGAGCACGACACTTGGGGGCAGCGACAGGTTCTCAGGCAGGCTGTACGTCCCAACAGGTACACACAGGCGATCAGTTTTCCAAAAAGACAGTGTGGCCTCACCTCCTTGTCTGCCAGTCAACTTAGCTGACACTCGGTCGTACACTCGGGCCTCCTCAGTCCTCTCCATGAACCCGACGCAGGCGAAGACTCCCTGCTCCTCAGTCTCCAGGCCCAACTTCTCTGCTAGAGACGACCTGATAAACGAAGAGTCAGAGCCTCCATCGATGAGTGCGCGCACTTGGCACACACCTCCCGGTCCACTGACCTCTACCAACACGGTCTGAACAAAGCAGCTGCTCTGAGCGTTCACATTGTAAAGGCGCTTACCCTCACGAGGGCTGGTGGCTTGGCAGGGCGGCTGGACGGCAGCTGCGCTGGGCGACTGGACGGACGGGCCGACGGCAGAGGCGTGCCCAGTCACTTCACCTCCAGACGGCAGCTCAACAGGCGCTCTCCCTGTCCACGTTGGCGTCTGACTGTCCTGGAAGGTCAGATGGTCAGGCCAGCCAGGCGACCATGCAGCAGCAGCAGGCGCTGCACACGTTACAGTGTGCATCGAGCGGTCAACAGCACGAGGCGGGTGGGGCGCAGCAGGCGACTGACGAGCAAAGCCCTGGCGAGCCGGTGCAGCAGGCGGGCGCACAGGGGCAGCAGGTGGGCGCACAGGGGCAGCAGATGGGCGCACAGAGGCAGCAGATGGGCGCACAGGGGCAGCAGACCCTCCCGCATCATGCAGAGATGAGTGGTGAGCCTCACCACACCTTGGACATGCAGAGCTCGTGCACACTCGCACCATGTGTGGCCCCAGACACTGATAACACAGGCCCTCCTGCCTGTCGGCCCTCCAGCGTGAGGCAACATCCATGCTCCTGTAAGTGGGGCATGCAGAGAGGCCATGCCTCCCATTCTGGCACACTCCACAAACCCAACCAGCCCTGCCTGACCTGCCTTGTATCCTGAGGACACTGGTGGCTGACCTCGCTGATCTCGGCTGGGACGGCTGACTCTGGTGAACAGCTGGGCTGGCGGCTGGTGTCCCTTGTGCAGCTGCATCCTCTCTCATCTGCACCTCCTTCTGCAGAAACTGCAGGAAGTCTGGGAGGTTCTCGGAGACACCACTCTGCGCTCTCATCCACTGCAGCTTCCACGTCTCTGGGACACAGGACTTCAGCACAGGCATGAGAAGCACAGAAAACGACTCAGCAGTCACACCCATCGTCTCCAGTGCACGAACATCAGACACCAAACCATCCACCATCTGACGCAGCTGCAGAAGGTCATGGTCATCAGGGACACAGCGAGTGTTCAACAGTCTCTGCATCAGTGACTCCCTCAGCAGGTCCGGACGGTCAAACCTCTCCTGTAAGGTTTCAATGGCCTTGACATATCCAGCATCAGTCAACGGCAGTCCCTGGATAGCTGCATGTGCCCTCCCAGTCAGGTACAGTTTCAAGTGCACAAACTTTTCCACTGGGGAACAAGCTCTGTTGTCATGAACAGCAGTTCTGAACAGGTTCCAGAACTCAGGCCATGTGTCAACTGCTCCGTCAAACTTAGGCAGCTTTAGCTCAAGTTTAAAAGCACTCTGGCGCTCATGCAGTACTGGAGCAGAAGCTACTCCCCTCTCGAGCCTGGCTAGAACACGCTTAGCCTTGAAGAGAGCATCATACGCATCCTGCATGTGTGAGCTATCATCCTCGATCCCATGTTTGTCAAGTTCACATTGTAGCTGTAGCATATGCTCATAATGCATCTCGAGGTGGTGAATGCGTAGGGCCAGCTCATCCTCCTGCGACTGATCACTGGCAGAGAGGTCACGCAAAAGTCTGGTTACCTTACCTCTGGCTAAGGTTCGCTTCTGGCGCAGTTCACTTTCCTCCACCACAGCTCTTGACAGAAACACTCAAATCTTGAAGGCACAATCTCAATCTCAAAGTCAAAATCTCAATCAAAATCAAAGCAAAGAACAACCAATAGCAAATCTTGATCCGGCCAGCGGAGGACTATGTGGTGAATTAACAATAAAAATAGCCGGTTCGTTGTCAAGAAAGAGTTGAATTGATTTTACTTTATATTATCTTCGGCGGCGGCGACTCTCAGCAACACGTGGCGGCGACACAATCACGGCGGCAGTCAGGGCGGAACTCAACCACGAGGACGAAACGGGGGCGAAATCAACTCGGTTTATACAGCGCAATGTGAAGGATTCAGGACGGGCTACCAGACAGAGGATACTTTAAAAGTCGGAAAGGAAACTAGTATAGGCACGGGGAGGATAAAGGAAAAGGGCTCGAACACACGACACTCGTGTACTGATCAGTGTCCCTCGTTTTCGTCTCAAGCCACGCGTCGTGCAATGTCGTTCTTTTAAACGCTTCAACATGCAGTCTTGTGATGCGGATTTCCTAGCTGTCGACTGGTCCTGCGTCTTTGCAGCCTTAAACATTTCTGATGCATGGTCTCATTTTATTCGTCTTTTCGCCCCCCATTGTTCAGCGTCACGCCCCTGTCCGAACTGTGAAACTGCGCAACCCCTCCGCTCCCCCCATCTCGGACGACACGCGTCAGCTTCTGGCTGACCGCGCCCGAGCGCTGCGCCTGTGGGGTCGCGGGTCTGATAGGTACCGGGAGGCGAACCGTTTGGCCCGCGCTGCCTTCAGAGCGGACAAGCGGCGCCATATCGGACACCGCGTGTCTCAGCAGGGACGTGGGTCTGTCTGGCGCTGCGCGGCTGACATCTTGGGCAGTAAAAAGACAGCGTGCATGATAAAACCTACCATCTCCGCCGAACAGATGAACGAATTTTTTGTCCATGTCGGCCCACGCGTTGCCGCCGAGCTCGCCGCGCATGGTCCGCCCCCCTCACTTCCCCCGCGACTGCCCAGGGTGGGAGCCTGCGCCTTCCGGCTACTTCCGATCACGCTCAGCACCCTACATGCCATCATCAGCTCTATGAGCAACTCCCCGTCCCGCGGATCTGACGGACTTTGCATTCGGACCATCAAGATATCCTTCAACACCATCAGTCACGTCCTCCTCCATATCGTCAACCTCTCCCTCATCTCCAATATCTTCCCGGAATCTCTGGAAGCATTCCCTCGTCCATCCCATCCACAAGTCCGGTGATCCTGCCGATCCTTTCAACTACCGTCCTATTTCTATCATCCCAGTCCTTGCCAAAATAGTGGAGCGGGCAGTTCAGCGCCAACTCTACTACTACCTTTCCTCCAACCATCTCCTCTCCCCAACCCAACATGGCTTCCGTCCGCAGCACTCTACCAAGACCGCCCTCACGTGCGTCACCGACAGCATCCTTGCTGCTACAGATTCTGGCCTTCTCTCCATTCTTTGTCTCATTGACCTTCGCAAGTGTTTCAATGTTATCTGTCATGCTAAATTGCTCGAAAAACTCCAGCTGCTGGGCGTCGACACATCCTGGTTTCAAAATTATCTCTCCGGTCAATCGCAGAGTGTAAGCCTCACTTCCTCTGATGGCAGCGTCAAAATCTCACCTCCTCTTCCCATCAACCAGGGCGTTTTTCAAGGTTCTAGCCTCGGCCCTGTCCTCTTCTGCGCGTTTGCCAACGACCTGAGCTTGTACGTCTCCGATGGACTAGTTATCCAGTATGCCGACGACACCCAGGTCTTGGTTTCCGGCCCTAAATCTGCTCTTCCAGCGCTTGCATCGCGCATGGAAAGCACCCTTTCCTCTCTTGGTAACTACTTCCTTGAGAACGGCTTAAAGGTTAACGTAAACAAATTCGAGCTCATCACTTTTGGTTCTAGACAAAATTTGCGCAACCTCCCGACGATCAAAATCAGATACCAGGACACGTGTCTGACGCCCAGCACTGAGGTAAAAAATCTTGGTGTGGGACGCGCACGTGAGGGCTGTCTCGCGTAGATGCTGCGGTATCCTCGCAGCACTATCCCACCTCCGCCACTTCCTTCCTCCTGACACCCTTCCCGAGATAGTCACCGCCCTGGCCGTCTCGCACATCCGCTATTGCCTCTCTGTTTACGGCAGCGGCAGCGCTGGCAACCTCACAACCATCCAGAAGCTGCTCAACTTTGCGGCTCGCGTGATCGCGGGCAAACGAAAGTTTGACCGCGTGTCAGCTGTGCGAGACAGGCTGGGGTGGCTTGACTCGTCTCAACTCTTCCAATACCAATCCCTCTGCCTCCTTGACAAAGTCCTCTCCTCTAGCCAGCCCGAATGCATCGCCCGTCAGGTCTGCCTCAACCGGGACCATCATGGCCATGTCCGGCACACCATACAGGACGATCTCCTGCACGTGCCACCCATCCGTTCGGAGGCGGGCCGGCGACGGTTTGTATACCGCTCGCCCCACCTCATGAACGATCTGCCCATGTCGGTGCGGAACCTGCGAGGTCCGCGGTTCAGGCGAGCCCTGAAGGCCCACCTACTCTCGAGACGAGACACGTGATGAACGCGTTTTTGATCATGATGCCGTGCAGGTGGTGTTTTTTTATCCTGAGTTATATGTATATTTTAGGTTGTGTAACATCGTGAGTGTGTATTTTACCCTGCATAATATGATCCGATTTTATTGACGTGAAGGCCATAATAGCCACTTGTCTTGTGGATGGCTTTTTAATAAACTACTACTACTACTACTGACCTGAGGTCAAAACCCTAAGTTGACCTGACCCGAACAAAAAGCATATCATTCGACGCGCCTGAGCGAGGCGAACACGATGGCGATGCTGCCAAAATCGCGGCTCTGCGGCCGTTCTTTGCGAAGTTATTTACCAAAAACTGAACCGTACCTTGGGGCACTTGACCTGACTTCAGAGTTCAGAGGTCACCGGTTGACCTAGGACCTTAAAATCGGGTACCAATATCTGCGTCTCGTAACGGCGCACACGCTCGTTTTTTTTGCGACGCGCTAGCTCCACCAGGGGCGAAACGGCGAGGGGGGGGGGTCGTACCCGCCCCCTCCCTCGGCCGGCGCGTATGTAGAAAACCAATAGGTCCGGCGAGGGTTTTAAATAATGAAAAGTATGTCAAAATTGTAGAGCAGACTATACTTGGGGTGGTTCGTGAATATGCGCTCCCAGTTTACGAACCTCTCTCTCTCTCTCTCTCTCTCTCTCTCTCTCTCTCTCTCTCTCTCTCTCTCTCTCTCTCTCTCTCTCTCTCTCTCTCTCTCTCTCTCTCTCTCTCTCTCTCTCTCTCTCTCTCTCTCTCTCTCTCTCTCTCTCTCTCTCTCTCTCTCTCTCTCTCTCTCTCTCTCTCTCTCTCTCTCTCTCTCTCTCTCCTCTCTCTCTCTCTCTCTCTCTCTCTCTCTCTCTCTCTCTCTCTCTCTCTCTCTCTCTCTCTCTCTCTCTCTCTCTCTCTCTCTCTCCTCTCTCTCTCTCTCTCTCTCTCTCTCTCTCTCTCTCTCTCTCTCTCTCTCTCTCTCTCTCTCTCTCTCTCTCTCTCTCTCTCTCTCTCTCTCTCTCTCTCTCTCTCTCTCTCTCTCTCTCTCTCTCTCTCTCTCTCTCTCTCTCTCTCTCTCTCTCTCTCTCTCTCTCTCTCTCTCTCTCTCTCTCTCTCTCTCTCTCTCTCTCTCTCTCTCTCTCTCTCTCTCTCTCTCTCTCTCTCTCTCTCTCTCTCTCTCTCTCTCTCTCTCTCTCTCTCTCTCTCTCTCTCTCTCTCTCTCTCTCTCTCTCTCTCTCTCTCTCTCTCTCTCTCTCTCTCTCTCTCTCTCTCTCTCTCTCTCTCTCTCTCTCTCTCTCTCTCTCTCTCTCTCTCTCTCTCTCTCTCTCTCTCTCTCTCTCTCTCTCTCTCTCTCTCTCTCTCTCTCTCTCTCTCTCTCTCTCTCTCTCTCTCTCTCTCTCTCTCTCTCTCTCTCTCTCTCTCTCTCTCTCTCTCTCTCTCTCTCTCTCTCTCTCTCTCTCTCTCTCTCTCTCTCTCTCTCTCTCTCTCTCTCTCTCTCTCTCTCTCTCTATGTGTTTGATCTGGGCTCTCTGTTTCAGATCTGGGCTGTGCTGACCAAGCGGCAGGCGATGGCGCACCTGATGTGGCAGCACGGAGAGGAGGCGCTCGCCAAGGCGCTTGTCGCCTGCAAACTCTTCAAAGCACTCTCCTGCGAGGCAGCCAAGGACAACCTGGAGACCGAGTTCTTCGAGGAACTCAAACGGCACGCCGCCCAGTTTGAGAGTCTTGGTACGGTGGCACTGCCGAGTTTCAGAAGCTCTACATTAAAATATGCTAAGTACAGGTCACCGCTGAAGTACCGTAAACCGGGGTGAGTTGATATGGATTTTGAGGTTTTTTCTAGATTTCTTTAAAAGCCACCTTTATTTACGCTTTTTTTTGCGTGCCAGTTTCATGGCATATGCATTGGGAGGGCAATCAGCAAAAAATTAATAAAAAATGTATATACGAGTATTTAGCCCCTTTTTTAAAGTTTAAGTTCATATCAACTCACCCCCTGGGGGTTGGTGAGTTGATAAAGTTTTGGATTTATCAAAATTCCTCAGCTAAAGAAGCTCAGAGGCGAGTTGATATCATGCCAGTGTAAAAAAAAGATGAGAGAACGCATCTTGAAAAAAACATCAGAAAAATGGCAGTAGTTTGGCAGCAGTTTGGCAGCATTCATGAAAACGCAATCATGTCCAACATACCCTTCTCAAAGTGGCTTGATTTTAGCAGCATCATTTTTTGCTGTATGATGCTTATATTTTACTTAGAACATTCTGAACTTGGCTGGTCACATGTCCTCAAGCCAACGGTACAAAACTGGCAAGATATTTTGGAATGTAAAGTATCCATGACAGTTGGATAACGACAACTGAAGAAACTCAAGATTACCAAACAATATTTATTTTTTAAATTACTTTTAAATACACAAAGCTTTCGGTCACATCACATACGACCTTGATCACTGTGTTCACAATGCTTCAAATTATTTAATAAGTTCACTCTTAATACTTAATATCAAGCTCAAATATAACAAATTTTCACATCATGTTCACTGTATTTTTCAACAACCTCTTTCTCTCATCATCTCTCGTTATTCCCATTCATTTTTCACATGCCGTGCACGCGGCCTACATATCGTCCGTCTCCGAATATATTTAACTCACTACAGTACCCCCACGTGACTGAGGTTCCGCCCCGGAACCATACATTTTCAACTTAAAGGTTCTGCCTCTAACTACAACACCACACGGCACACACATTTCCAGTATGGTACACAATACGCTTGGCCATGTCTACCCAAACCATAGTCCAGTTGATGCACCTTTCATATGCAAAATAAACACATTTTCTATAAACATACACTTAACTATAGTCCGTTTTTCTTAAGTTCGACCCTCATTCAAATCGTCTCTTTGAACACAGCACGAGAATTGCTAGCTGAATTACTGAGAAAACTGACTGACGCACATTGATTTCACAGACGATTAATTTTATTCAAAAGTATTTCTTCCTGGCTCTTATTTCCCAGACTCCTAGCTCGTATTTACCTATATATGCAACCCCACAGGGAAAGACGACTCGTCAGAAATTATAATTGAAGTAGTCGATAAATCGTACGGCGTTTAACACAAGGGTATATTATCGGTGTTAAAAACTTATTTGGAAAATATTATTCGTATCTCCAGTATAATGTGCGCTAACCAGTTTTTTAAGTAATTCAGCTAGCAATTCTCGTGCTTTGTTCAAAAATATGTTTACAGTGAGGGTCGAACTTAGAAAAAACGAACTATAAAACATACACTTTAAAACAGGACAGTTTGCTATGATTTCCATGCTTCATACCTTACTGGCGGTCGAACCGCCCGACCTGACCGCGTTTGCACCACCCCTGGAGAAGACGGCCCACTTCTGCCCAGAGGAATCAGAGGCATTGTACGGCCTGGAGAGCTAGCCCCCTGTGGTAGAGGTGCACCGTTCCCTGACTGGGAAGCCCGACTGGAGCAGACGGCTTTCAACAGTCTTAAAGAGGCACTGAGCTCGCCGCCGGTCCTGGCACTACCGGTGTTTAGTGAGGAGGCGCCCCCGTTCGTTCTGGATGTGGACGCCAGTGGAACGGCCGTCGGAGGCTGTCTGATGCAGGGCGACAGGGTGATCGCATTCGCCAGCCGGGTGCTGACCAAATCCGAGTACAGTGTCACAAAACGTGAGCTGCTCGCGATCGTTTGGGCCACTACGCACTTCAAGCAGTATCTGCTGGGCCGTCGGTTTCTACTGCGTACCGACCAATCGGCCTTGCAATGGCTCTTCAACATGAAAGATCCCACTGGTCAGCTGGCTCGGTGGCTGCTGCAATTGTCCGAAATGGAGTTTGATATCATACACCGCCGGGGTGTTCTCCACAATAATGCCGATGCGCTGTCGAGATATCCTCACCCCATGACTGAGCAGGAGCAGCGGTATCGCTGGGTCTGCCTTCCGGTGCCAGATATTCAGGGCAAACCTACTCCTCCTGACAGTCAGCTGCTGGACCCTCAGTCGCAAGCTGCCCCGGTCGTTCCAGAGTCGCGGGTTGACTGGGCCGACGAGATCCAGGTCAGTCCAAGGGTCACAGTAGCGCTGGAACAGCAACCGCAGTGTCCACTCACACTCGGGCAACACAATCTTGGGTCTCAGGCATCGAGTGTGCCCAACCGCAATGACCAGTTGACGATCAGCCCGCCGAGGCCTGGAGCGGCCGATCAAAGCAGTATAAGCACACCGGGTGATGCCGAAATGCTCCCGAAAAATGACCATGACAGTCAGTGTTCTGATCAGGTCCCGACTCCGCCAAATGTAGCTGAAACGCCGGCTGTTTTGACAGCCGCAGTCACGCACTCCACCATTGTCCCAGTCACTATGGCCGAGTTTCACAAAGAACAGGTAGTGGATGAAGGTATACGTGAAATCATGGTGTGGAAAAACCGTCACATAAAACCAAAAACCGAAAGTGTACATACTCAGCACGCACTGCAGCTTATTCGCGAGTGGAAACGCCTCGTACTCAAAGGCGACCAATCTGTGCTGTACAGACGGGCACAACCCTACAGAGGCGCTCCCTCGTGTTTACAGATTGTTGTGCCACAGCACCTGCGGCGGGGGCTGATGGAATCCCACCACCGTGGATTGGGGGGCGGACATCAGGGGGCTGCCAAGCTGGAGAGTTCACTGAGGCGCCAGTTTTACTGGCCAGGGATGCAGGCGGATGTAAAGGCATTCTGTCAGCAATGCGAGGACTGTGCCCGTCGCATGGACCCTCCTCACCCGCCAAAGGCTCCTCTCGGCTCTCTGCAGGCCACACAATTTATGGACAGACTGGACATTGACATTATCGCTGGTCTACCCGCTAGTGAGCCAGATGGATATAAGTATATCTTGACATGTATTGATGCCTTTACTCGTTTTGTTTGGGCATGGCCACTGAAAACACAAGAGGCGCCCGAAATAGTAGAAGGGCTGATGGACCATGTCGTGGGACTTTTTGGTGTGCCCAAGTCAGTGCATTCAGACCAAGGTAAAAACCTGGTGGGTCACGTAGCTCAGTTGTTCTACGAAAAGATGGGCATAACACAAAGTACCACGACAGCGTACCACCCGCAGGGGAACGCCTACTGTGAGCGCAGCCACCGGTTCCTGATGGACACTGTGGCCAAACTCACCAGAGAAGAGCAGCGTAAGTGGCCGCGGTACCTGAGTGCCGCCGTTCTGGCCTCCAACGTCAACACGAGTACGGCTACAGGCTTGTCGCCTTATGAATGCGTCTTCGGCCGGCCAGCTCCGCTGCCGACCGCGCTACGGCATAGTAAGGTCTCGGACGCCGCCAGCAGCTCGGCTGGGAGGGTGCCCAGGGATACACTTCAGTATCTCGCAGGTCTGCAGCGCACCCTAAATCGCTCAGACCAACAGCTGCTCACAACCAGTGTGAGCTCTCACAACAAAAACAAACGTCGGCATGACGAGCGCATCGTCGAACACATCTACGAGCCAGGAGATCGAGTCTGGTTGAAACAAAGCGCCGTGAAAGGTGGAGAGTCGAAAAAGCTGTCCTCTCGGTGGTCAGGACCGTACCGTATCGTAGCCAAACGCCGCAATTGGACCTATACCATAGCGCGTGAGGGTGAAACCATGGAAACCACAGTCCATCACAACCGTCTCAAACCCTGTCATTCAAATCTGACTAGTTCACATATGCCTACACAGGGCCATCCCACCGCTGCCACCACTTTAATAGGTTCACTCTTAATACTTAATATCAAGCTCAAAGTTTCAGCTTCAGCTTCAGCTTCAAACTTCATAACAAAGTTTCACATCATGTTCACTGTATTTTTCAACAACCTCTTTCTCTCATCATCTCTCCTTATTTCCATTCATTTTTCACATGCCGTGCACGCGGCCTACATATCGTCCGTCTCCGAATATATTTAACTCACTACAATTACAACTGTATTTTCATGTAGCTCAAACACATTGTCAGCTGCAGTTCAAGGTTGATATGTCTCTGACAGATATCATGGATATGAAATGAAAGCATACATATTCTGCAGGTACTTCTGAGCTGAACTCCAGACTGGTAGGCAACAAAATGTTAATGAAGTGAAGTGAAGCGAATTTAATTCGGACTGTAATTATTTTATCGGGTGAAATAAGCGACATAACACAACATTTGGTAGCAAAAGCCAAAATTAACCCTCGCACTTACAGGGGGCGGGGTCGAACGGACCCCTTCGTTTTTTTTGCGAATAACTCGCGCAAAAGGCCGCCGATGGTGACGAAACTTTCAGTACTATCGAGTTAATCAATTTTATACATACTCTAAAAATTTCATGACCCTGACCAAATGGCCTTTGACCTGTAACCTGATTCTCGGGACCATGCTCAGCCGGAATCGTGATTTGGTGTATGTCGGCTCACATTATCCGCGCATTTCCAGTCTTTTTGTGGTTGTAACGTCCAGTTGATCCCATCCAGTATTGTGAAACTGTCAAGGTCACCTGAAGGTCAGGTCAGGTCATTGACCTTTGATGACCTCGGTTTACTTTTTCGATTTTTACATGTTTCTTGGGTAATTTTTTTTCGGGTTGATTTCGAATTTAGTATCAACTTGATCATTTACAAAGTAGTTTTAGAGCCTTCGTAACATGTTACGACACGGTCAGTGGTAGTTGACACTCCACGCTATGAATATAGCTGGCAGGACACCTACTGGTTGACATGACCTGACCTGACCTGGCCTTAATGCACGAAGACATCTGTGATTAAAACTAACATGATGTTCGTGATCAGCAGCCCCCCCCCCCAAAAAAAAAACAGCAACCTCGCTTTACGAACTTCAAACAAGTCCCGATTTTCCCGACTTTTGGGTCATTGACCTGACCTGGAAGGTCAACCAATGACCTAGGACCTTAAAGTTGGGTATTACCGGCTTCCTCGCGTCTCGGGCAACACGCTCGTTTTTTCCGCGAAGCTCTAGCTCCATCAGGGGCCAAACGGCAAGGGTGTCCAACGCCCCCCGCCCCCATGGGCGGCGCCACCGGGGGGGGGGGGACGGGGGGGACAGGTCCCCCGCTATCGAAAGTTAGGGGGTACAGTACCCCCCTATCGGCGAGGCCCGTTCAATTCACTTATATA